CTCCACCTCAACTCAGGCAAGCTTTTGTTTTCTTCAGCATATGTTTAATCCCTCTCGGGCACGGGTTTTCCTCACTTTTCTCCTCGGGGCCTTTTTCCCTTCAGTGCCGCGCCGCCGCCAGGCGGCGGTGGCTGCTGTTTGCCCTCAGAGCCCGCGCACAAACGTGTTTCTGCTCGGATTCATACAAGGGCTATCGCTTGCATAGAATATACGATGCCCATTTAGCATAGTGGTATTTATGAAGAACACCCCATGGAGACTGGCAGACTAGCCTCAGCGAAATTTAAAGCAGAATTTGATTTAATGTACTTGCAGCACTGGATATAAATCGTTTTTATATATTTTAAATGCTTTTTTTTTTTTTTGGAGGATGTACTGAATTCCAGTTGGAAAGTAATTTGGGATCTTTACATTGATTTCCTTCTACAGATACAAAATCACACCAAGACCACACAGAAAATCAGGCTGAGCAACTTGAGACAAAAAATGCTTATACAAAAACCTCCCCAGGTGAATCGTCATCTCTTTGCTTCACTGCAGAAAGATAACCTGAGGCAAGATGAAAAACTTTTATCACAGTCTAGAAAAACAACCAAAAAAACCGCCCAGAGATTTGCAGCTGTGCTATATATCAGCTGAAATTTCTTCTCTTTTTTGAAAAACATACTGTTTCAGTGGCAATAAATCCTCTCACTGCTGCTCTAGTCCATTTGTGTTCATCTAGTGTAAAGCTAACATATTTGTAGCTGGGCCGGGTTGGAGGATGCAACGCAACTATATATGCGCACCTGCAGATATGGCTATTTACTCAGACACAGGCACAAAACCTGCTGGCCAAGTGCAGTTGCAGAATTTAACTTAATCTTGACTGCTTTCTCTGGGGTCCCAGCATCTACTGACTGGGATTAGGCTGTAAGAGATGTCAGGTCCAGTGAACGCATAATGGCTTTGACGCTTTCAGATTCCCAGGCCAGCATTTCTTCTAAGTCACACCAGGACTCACTGGAAAAATGCTGAAATTTCACAATACGTTGTGTTCATTTTTTTCCAGACAAAGCTCCGCAAGGACAGCAGGAAGATAAAAGCATCCATTTGCCCCTGTTCATGTGAAATGAGGTATATTCACGTGGCTTCACTTCATAGACAGCTATTGGAGCATGTTTTTTGCTTTGTTTTTTTGATTTTTTTCTTTTGACCTCAGTACTGTAATTTTTACAATGCAAATAGAGTGGCTCACCTTGGTTCACTGGGCAAGAAATTAGTTTCCTTTAAAAATTTTTTTGGATTTTAGCAGTTATCCTGATATTGCCCAAGTTCCATGGGATTTTTCAAAAGTAATTAGAAAGCCAGTACATATCAGAAAGTTATCATTAAACATATTGAATTTCTCACTGCAAACAGATTCTTATCCGGTAAATTTGTCAGGCTTTGTTAGGTTAGAATTTACAAAGTACAACTCCCATATTTATGTAATAGCTATAGCAGGAAATAATGTTCACTGACATGCAGACATGGGTGCAAATCGCTAGATAAGTTTATTGCAATATCTAACCATTCCACACCTAATTTTGAGAACTAGCATATATAAGGTGGAAGGTTAACATTCTTTCCAGCTGCACTTGCATCCGCTCTGCAGTCAACATGAAATCCACTGTGAGTATACATGCCATTTTCTTCTTATAAACTAAAACTCTGATGCAAAACCATTGCCTGCATACCACAGGCCTGCTTGCCTGTATCCACTTATAGCAAAAAGTTCTTCTCAGACTTCATTCCTCCAGAGTACAGCTCAGACCATAGTAACCTAAACAGATCAAGAGGTAAGGATTCTTGCAAAGATTTAGCTATATATTATCCAATCTACAGGAAGCCTAATCTAAAGCCCATTGTTGTCAACAGTCATTTTGCAAAACTGGAGCAACACTGTAATGGATCTAGCCACTTGTAATATTTAACTGGAGTAAATTTCTTTCTCCTCACTCATATGAAATCTCAGTATATGACTGTGTAAGTCCCCTCAGTAGAGTCTTCAGATTCAGTTCTTGAAAGTAAACTACTCATACAAATCTAGGTTGGATTGTTCTAGGGTAAAGTAAGGAAAACTCAATTTAGGTGACCTTTGCAATTCCAGTGTGAAAGGAAAAAAAATAGGGGCGGGGGGGAGGAAATCCAAGGAGTACACTTCAGGATCAGACTAGGAAAAAGTCATTAGAAAGGATTCTTAACGACCAGATTTGTCAGCCAGGCCTGCATTTATACTTATACGCTTTAAATGTTCGTTTCAGATTGTGATTACTGTACTTTTTGGACTCTCGTTGACTCCTTCTCTTGCTGGTAAGGTAAGTATGGTGACCAAGGTATACATCACTGCTCTGTTTCTGTCTTTCCTGCTTCTTGAATTTTGCCCACTGCTGTGGAGGGCAATTTCTCTTGTATATAAAAGGTAAAACCATAAAATGGCAATTGTAAGCTTCAGAAATTATTCAGTGAATCTATTGAAAGAATTGTTACAGCTACTCCAGAGTGGCATGGCCTTACTGTTCTGTCATTTTGACAATGTTGTTGTTGTCACTAAAGGAGCTCCTGGTGGGCCAGTGTTTGTTGTGTTATAGTTAAAAATAAAAAATAAAAAAAAGCATTATGGAACCACGTAAAATCTTATGGGACTGAACCTGTCTCCAAAACAGTTTGAATGTTTTTCCACATCAGTCTTAGAGGATTCTATTTTTGCCAAGTAAAGGAAATATCTGGTTGACTTAGAACATAAATTTGAGTGCCTTTTTAGGCAACCTGTTAATTTACAACAATTAGAAAAATCCTGACTGAGTCTTCATCCAATTTGTTCTCATTCACTGCTCTGTGGATTTAGACCTGTGGCTATTTTAATAGGAAAGGTGGCATTAAGGGTATTTGTGTGTCTGGCTGTAAATGATCTATGTCTAATCAGCCCCATGGAGCACTGTGCTGACCTTTCTGCTTCTGGTACCTTTGTTCACTCCGCTCGGCCTAGGTCAAAAATCGCTGCACGGTTCTGATTTGGGCCACGTAGATCTCAGGGATTGGTGTGATAGCCCTTCTAACCTCTCGCAGGGCGGTGTAGATGATTTCCTATAAGCACTGAGGAGATTAACTATAGCCTGAAAGTCTAAAATGTTAATTTTGTTTTCTAAATTCAGAATGTGGATAGAAATAAGCAAATAAGCACTGGTGAAAACTCCCACCAAACTCTGTCAATCAACAAAGAAAAGAGCACGGCATGTATTGACATGAACGATGGCCGTGACTCATGGAACATTATCTGGAACTACAATACGGTGAGTGGTGAAGAACATGCTTTTTCAGAAAATTTCCAAGGCAACTAGTTCGTATACAACTAATTGAAATAGACTGTTTCTTATTCTTTAAATTTTAGGTCCAAGTTCAGGGGTAAAAAACTTTATCAGTCTTTATTACTTTGATTTTTAATACAGACTTCATTCTGATGTCAATTAATGAAGAACTGAAATCCTAGATCTTAATAAATTTATTTTACAGGGCTATATGGCAACCAGAATATTTGCACAGAAGGTTTGCTTCATTTCTAAAATGAACAAGAATGTGATGCCTGATATTGTTGCTATTTCCAAGATGACTGAAAAAAAAAAGGTAAGATAAAAAGGGGAGTTACTTGTAAACCTGAACAATAAAGCAAACGTAAACTGTAAGCATGGGATCATCAGAGAGAATGCTATTTTCAAAAGTTTTTAAACCAACAGCTAATATAAAAGCCATTAAGATTAAACCATTTGTTATAAATTTGTATCATTTCAATGACCATTTACATTAATGTAATTTGTAAACTTTGACAAATTAAAATATCCTGTTTCAGATACTTGCAATGGAAATTTTTAATGTTTGTCTACATTATGTATCACCTAGAAAATGCATTTTTATGCTGTGATATAGATTGACTATTTATTTTTAATATTGCTGTTTATGTTTAAAAATGTTAGATTTTTGGCAGAGTACTCTTCATAATCTCACATTCTTTGCAGGCTAAAAAGTATTTTTGTAGGCAACTCTATTGGGAGAAGAGCAAAAAAATCCAGTAACGAGAAAAGAAGTGTTTAGATAAAATTTCAAGCCTTTGCATAACTTTTTCAAGAGAACTACACCATATTACCGTGAGTTCAGCCCACATGATTAGGGCAAACATTTTAAAAAATACCTCAGCGTTCAGCACCCTTTTGTGGACTCAGACACTCCTCCTGAAGAGCCTGAGAGCTGAGCCTTTCTAAAATCCTGGCTTTAAAGGCCAAGAGGGCATGGTGGGGAAAGAAAAGGGGAGAGTTATATAAGTACGGATTCATCTTTATCTGTAGCTCCAGGCCTGCTTTCACTAAGGTGCATCTCTGTTGCCCTCTGAAGCTTATCTCAGCTTCCTGCTTACCAGCAAGAAGGAAGTGCGTTTGAGTGGGCTTTCAGGAACCCTTTGATAAAATTCCACCATAATATTGAAAGTATATGTCAATCTCAGTCCTCCCTGCTAAGTGTGTCTTCACCCTGGAGTTCATCTAGCTATTCCTTACCAGCGTGCTTTCTCTTTCTTGAGAGGACTACATTTTCACACGTGGCAAGATTTTTTTCTTCCTTTGTTTCCTATTGAAGGAAACACCAGTGAAGTTCAGCACTACTTGCAATACTGATGCTGAACAGTAATCTGGTTCAGGCGTTTACCAGGGGGATGGTTTTTCAATAGAAAAAGAGTAGGTGCATTTTTTCCCCCTTACAAAACTCTACATTTTCTCTGAGGAAGTTCAGATTCTGCAGATTGCTTTAGAAAAGTATATTAGAAAACCTTAAAGGTATTATTTATTTTTGGGTAGTAAGAACCAAAAATGGTTCATTTTGATGGATCTCAACCCTCATTTCCAATTTTAGAAGGTTACTTTCTGGATATTACTGTTTGGACCTCTGTTTTCCTTTATGGCATAAGAGGATATCTCTTCAGATTCAACACAGCCTTTCCCCTACATCAGCAGTGTGATCCAGAGTAGGATCCCTGTGGTTATAGCTGAATAATGAGCGATGCAAACCAACAGGAAGCCTAGTTCATAAGAAAAAATATGGGTGATTAGGAACTTTACTATCCAGAGTACAAAGCATTCAGGTAGGAAAATATGTCTGAAATTAATTTGAAACAAAGTGCTCTGGAGGAGTTCAGAGAACCTTCCCCATTAAAACACTCAGCAGAGTTCTCCAAGAGGTCTTGAGCACTGCTAGCAAATAATTTTAATCTGAATACATCTGCCAAGTGCTGCTACTGTCCTCTTGGTTCCAGTTTTAGAAAACTGAATGAATAGATTTCTTCTCCCTCTACACTTCAAGTTATAACCCAAGTACCTCTAGGGTAGGAGTGACTAAGGAAATACTTTTGCAGGAGGTCTATGTTAACATATTGGCCGCGCTTGTCTTTTCCTGTTCAGCTGTTCCAGTTGTTCTCTTTTGCTTCTTTTCATCTTGTCTCCCTTAGAAAGACCTGACCTAGGAATTGTCTTCTATGCTTGCTGATGGTCCCACATTCACACAGCAGATTGAAAGACTGCACAAAATACAGTTTTAGTAAAAAAAAAAAAAAAAAAAAAAGCACTGAGTCACCATTCCAGAGATAGGAATACGTATATCATTAAATGAATCAAGACACTGATCTTATTGAATGATGTTATTTGATGTTGTTTAGAGGGCGAAAGGTCAAAGACATCCATCAAAAGATCTCGTATACGTCGTCTCAAAAAAAAGAGTCCGTGACCTCAAGTCTTATGGAGAAGACATCTTTGCTCTGTGCAAAGGGCTCCCGACTTATATAGCGCATGAAGTTCGTGGTGAGTGCAATCAAATGAATTATTTGTGTAACTGAGCAGAGTTTTTTTCCTTAGGGAACAATACATGAATGCTGCTGTTCCAACTAGAGACAGACACAAACCAAGAACTTCCAGAACTGCAGAAAGGCTTCAGTATCTGTGCAGATCTGGATCAGAACAATGTTGAGTCACAATCTCGTTAAATTAGCCTGATCTGAGCTCTTACTTATCCTTTTACTAAATTATAAGGTGGCTTAATTTTTGGCCCAGAATTTTGCCGATTGAACTTACCTGTAATGCCAAGGTACAGAAGTAGCAGTGTCTCAAGAACTGCTGTCCTTCAGTTTACACACTGCTGATAGCTTGCTGAGCGATCCTACCATCAAATGGCTGTGCTGAAAGCCAAATCAAATAAACGCATTCATGTTTTACAATATTAAGCCAAGTTGCTTCACACCTTGCAGGTTTAGTTTCATGACCTAAACAATATAGGGTTCTTTAATAATGTCAAAGCTTGATGGGGCATATTAACAACAATAGCATAACAGTATAATGCACTATAATATACTAATAGTATATGCCCACTAGTACTGGCAAATGTAAAGAATGTTGAATAGAACATCTTTGTGATCATCCATTTTTGAGTCAAAGATCCAGTTGTGTTTGGTGACTACAAAAGTATCTTTTACTCATTCATTTAGACTATTTCTTTAATAGCAATTATAAGAAACGCTCCTTGACTAGAGTAATAAAAATACACTGTTGTAGAATGCCAGCTATTGCTATGAAGACAAGCATAAACCAACTAGCTTGCAGCAGGTGCCATAGTCAGGGTTTGATCACTTGCGTTATAACTGTCTTAGGGGAAAAGATACATTATTTTGAAATACATATAAAGGAATTGCAAACTGAGTGACTGCAAACTCTCTCATTAGAGATATGCCCTGCAGAGCCTACATAGCATGTTACCATTCTGACATAGCAGTATTTCCACCTACTTGGTGCTCATTTTCCTTCAGTGATTGCTTTGAAAACTGAAATTGCTCAACTGCTTTGATTAAAAAACAAAACAAAACAAAACAACCCACGAGTGCAGTGTCTCATGTATTAAAGGCTGCCAGTGAACGTACAGAGTTCTTACAACGGTCTTAGGTATTACCTGATGCTATATGTTTTTTTTTTTTCTTCCTTTTCTCTTTTTTAAGGATCCCAATTTTGGTACAATCAAGGATCATGTTTTCAATTTAATATCCTTTTTGTTCTTGGCATTCATTACTGTGACAACACTGGGAGCTCCTGAAAATTTTACCTTTCTTGAACCTATCAAGGACACCTACTAACTGCACAAAGCCATCCCTGTTGCTGTTGTCCCCTGGTATTACATCTTGCAAGTGTTTCAGTCTTCATGATTCAGATCGTGAAGCAGATCAGTTGGTGACAGTGTCTTTCAATTAAACACATTTAGCATGGATGTCAACTCTGTCTAGTTTCTCATTACTACATCCATTATCATCTGTGTCTGAGACCCATTCTGGATCAGGATGTGGCATCAGAAGCAGATCAAGATTGGGCCTGGTTGGCATACGTATGGGAAACCTTCCGGCGGCGGGGGGAAAGCTGTAGCAAATTAGTTTAAGGAGGCTGTAGCTGCTTTTTCCTTGCCTCGCTACAGAGCCAAGTCTTTTGAAAAGGTGGTCCCACTCCGTGTACATCACTCCCAAGAAGTCAGGTAGGAGAGCAAGCGTAGATCACCCTTCCCCCCGCCCCCAGATACAAACAGAAGAGAATCCCTTAAGAACATACAAAATACGACATTTGAATACTTTTTGTAGGCTCATCAAGAAAGCAAGCCTGTTATGAAAAGCTAAACCTGAAGCACCACAGCTAGCCTGATGGAGCCCACGATTCATCTCTACTGAATTTTAGGGAGACAGACAGACACACACAGAATATAGAGGAATTATTTTTCTTTGTTGATTATTAGAATACGTATTAATCTTCAGCAGTAGTACAGAACTGTGTATACAGAGCGGAACAGCCTGCGTTATAGTTACAAAGAACTGCGGACAACTGCTTGAAAATAGACAGAGAAGAGAAATAATTACTAATGAAAACTGAAGTGGCCATAGCCGTGCCATTGATGTGCACAGGGGAGTTTCCAGTCCCCTCTTCCCACCCAAACCCTTAGGCTATCAAAACGCCTGGTTGCACTCCTCTACCCTTTTGAACTCTTGAGATGCTCCTTTAAAAAGTTACTCTTAACGCAGGACACAGTTATAGAGACCTTCAATTTTAGTTTGGTATCACAAAATACCGAGGTAATTAACAATTACATGGAGGAAGGGACATTTGCTCTTTTTGGAGATGAGTGACTATCAGCATATGTACATTACAAAAATGACATACAGAATTAAGGCCTTGCTTTAAATAAGGCAAAGATGCCTTACATGAAAAATCTTGATTATCGTGGAATGAAAAGTAGACGGAGAAGAAATACGCAAGGAGTTTGTCTTTGTTCTGTTCTGTTCGAGAAAGAGAATTCTAATTACTTTTAGGATGTATAGGGTTATTTATGGGATTCCAAAAATAAAGAAGGTCCTCCATTTTTCTCAATGCGAAGTGAAAGCTGGCTAAAGGTACCAAATTCAACTCTCGGCAGATTAAGCTTTGTCTCAAAGATGCATATACAAAACACCACCAATTCTTGATCCACAGAGGATAGTGCAAGATTCCCGGCTCTCTCTTCCCAACTTCCTCCAAGTCAGTCTTGAAGACATAAGAACATGGACTTAGTTTTCCTTCCTTAATGCCGCAATGGTGCCTGTAAAGGGACATGAAAGATTTATTCCATTTATGCTACCAGGGACATGGAGAAAGAAATAGTCTTTACGCTTTCCTGATGGTTAATCCCAGATCTCTGTATTTCAGATTCCCCAGAAGTAAAAACTTGAAATGAATCAAGCTTAGGAATACACTAACAGTTTCTGGTGTCTTAACCAGGGCATATGATAAAGAATTTATGTGAGGTTTATGTCAGTTTTAGGAAGACAAAACTGTACTTTATATACTTCGACCCAGCATGAAGCCTGCTGTTAAGAAGTTACCCTATCAAAGTGTTTTTGTTTTGGTTTGTTTTTTTGAGGGGGAGGGGGGTTGAACAAATGTGAACTAGAAGAGTGCATTTATACTGGACTGTCACCTAACTACAGTTTTTTCTGATCCTGCAATGGACCCGAAGCCAGATTTACTATATGTGGTCAAGCCACTATCACAGAGAAGAAACAAGGCTTCCAAGAGTAAGAAGTAGAACGTGAAGCTAGAGAAAGTTAGATTAGAGATGAAGTGCAATTTTTAAACAGTAGGGCCATTAAACACTAAATCTTTACCAAGAAGAATTCCAAGAATTCCCCATTGCTAGAGACTTTAAAAAAAATCAAGGCTGAATATTTCCTCTCTTCAGACAAGAACGGGAGGATGTCCTGGGTTATGCATATGAATCTGTGAACTCCAGAAGAAGAATAGCAGCCAGAGAACGTGCCTCAATTTCCACTGCCTTCTTACTGATCCCAACGGGCTTAATTCTTTAGCAGGTTAAAATGAGATGAAGGTCGCTTAAGCACATCTCAGGTGAAAGCACCCAAACTAAAGGCAAAAGCATCTACATTATCTGGATTAGCACACATCAACCCTAGCAGGAGAGGCAGAATTTGTTTAAAAAACAAAAACAAGTTTCTGCTACTGCTCATCTCCTTTTCTGCCATTTCACTGGAGTTTTTGTGTTTTGTTTTTCTTCTTTTTAATTTCTTGCCACACCATCAGTTCTCATTTTACTCAGTTTACTCAGCTAAACGCAACAGAAAGAGGCAAGAATCAAAGTGCAGGAGGGGATTTTCACCTAATTTTAGAATCACTATACATTATTCTAAGACATTCTTTAAGCTGTTGTCATGCCCTACTTTGCCTTCTTACTGGTATTTCTCTATTTAAGTCCCTTTCCAGAAGGGACTGGAAAAAAACTTTTTGGTAGTACAGTGTATGTTTAAATGCCAAGTGTGCATGAATGAAAGAAAAGGAAACTTCAGTCACCTAATAAACCAAAGGACCACTTCTCAGCAGCAACAAAAATACTTCCACGATGCTAAATGCGAAGCTGCAATACAAGGCTTCTAAAGAGGGCTCACATAAGCCTGATGCATCAATAAGAGCTGTATTGCTTTTTCTCAAATAGAGCTGTTGTGTCTTGTCATCCTGCCCCAGAGTCTATGCCTACCACCACACCCCCAGAGCATATGTACACTTTTGCTTCATGGTGCTGGGATGACAATTGTGGAGAACAGTTACCATAGGGACAGCATCACTGCAAATCTTCCAGCCTAGACCACCCTCCGTAGTCCTGGAAATGACATTTAGGGGCAGAGAACAGTTCATGACACATGTCTGTAGAGCTCTCTCACAGGCTGTGACATGTAAGAATTTGAGATTTAAGAAGGCGGCCACAGTTATTGGTATATGCAGTAACAAAAGCATTAGACAATACTCAGAGATTTGTAAACAGGATTAGGAGAGGGCCAGACCCAAAAAGGCAACACGAATTGAAAAGTGAACTTTTTTCCACTTACTGCTTCAGCCCAAACTCCGATTTGGAGTGCATGTCAGTAATGTCTTGTAAAAAAAAAAAAAAAAAAAAAAAAAAAAAGTCTTTGAGGAGGAACAAGGTCAGTGACAATACAATGCCTTGCCTCACAGATAAATACATTAATTTTTTTTTTCTTTGCTCTACTATTTCGCATGTGTTCCTAATGAGAAAGTTAAATATTTTATGTGGGTGCTTTAGTTTAAAGCTGTATCTGCCCACAAAAAGTATATAAGGTCATTTCAAGACTTACAAATCCATCTTCTTGAAGATTTTGTGTGTTCAGCAGTGAATCTTGCTTAGAGACAAAATAGAGACATTTCTAAGTATTTTAACAACCTCAAATTTCTGTCAAATGGTTCTTACTGTAGTACCTTTAGCTCCAGTTCTGTGAGGCACTGACACAACCCCTTGCTTCCATCAAATCTAGTGGAGAAGAAAGGGCAAGATGTGCAAAAACAAAGTCAGAAAAAGAAGAGGTCTGTTTTTTTTTTTTTTTTTTAAAGTAGAAAAAGTTCAGGGACCTTCCTTATCCGAAATCCCAACCTGAGGTATGAACAGTATGATTAAAAAGAAAATCCTACACTTCCAAAGGAGTGCATCTACTCTCTAATCAGTTCTCTTCTGTACATCGTAGGATGTTTATTTTCATTTTGTTAAGCACATAAACACCTTTTCATACACTTACCACCATGGGTTCAGCATTGCTGAAACCCAGACCCTACAATATCTGTGCTGAAAAACCTGAAACACTAAAAACAAAACAAAAAAAAACCCAAAGCACCCAGGCTAAGCGGACACTATGACACTATGGTAAACAAATAACATGTTACTGGGAAATTTCTCAAAGACAAAAAAAGACTGCTATGTGTCTAGCTTTCCCTGGTTTGCAGGAAGCAGAAAGAATCCCATTGTTGATCATGTTTTGTGACATTTCTGTCATCCTGCATAAGCTATCGTAGTAAATTATTCTTCACTTGTGAGGGACTGCCAAACATTACCTTCTCTAACCACAATCAGTATTAAACTTCCAGGCACAAGTTCTGTAACAACTGCTGATGTCAGTTTATTTTTTGTCCCCCTCCACCACCTTCCCCCTCCCCCCGGTGTTAACTCTGTCCTGTTGGACGCTATTTTAATTCAGTATTATGCAAGTTTCTAAAGCCTTTACTCATTTTAAACTATAAGCGGAGTAAAGCAATAATGTGAGCTGGTATAGGATTTGCTTAGGATATGTGGGACTTGAGAGGGCAACTGTGTCAGTTTTCATTTTAGCTAATTAGAATGAGCTTTCTGAAAGCACTTTTACTGTAGGTGTCCTTAGAAGCAAAGGATAAGGATCATGCTTTGTAGAGCTATGTTTATGGAAAAGTAGGAGAACTGAGGACATGCTTGTGGCCCTTCAAACTTAGTTGCATTTGGCAGCTAAAAGATCTCCAGGGTGCATAGAAGTTGCTTTTAATCCTTTCCATTCTACATTACAGGTTCTGCCTCTCATCTTCCTTGGTATTTTTGTGAATGCAGCTTTTGCAAGTGAGGTAAGTAGAAGATCATATGTCATGGTTAATTTTTTTTTTCCTTCCAGGTATCCATTTTCCCCATATTGTTTGAGATGGCATTCTTATTAATTCAAGCCTTATAAACATGGGTCTCAGTTATTCTCTGCT